GGCCGGTTCTCGTCTGATTTGGGGTTTGGCTGCCGAGGGGCTTGGGATTTCAGCAAGGATTTCGCCCTAAACCCCTCTGAGCCCCAAAACCACCGAGATCTCACCCGAACCCTAATGTAAATCTAAGCCTAAACCCTAAACCCTAACCCTAAACCCTAAGCCCTAAACCCTAAACCCTAAACCCTCAACCCTAAACCCTAAACCCTAAACCCTAAACCCTAAACCCTAACCACAGACCCGCGCGCCCAGGCTGCTGAGCCCCAGGCTGGGGACAAAATGGGGCTCACAAGGGAAACTGGTTCTTGAGCCCGGCCAGCTACGTTCCAGGCGCCGTCTGAACCCCAAGCCCTGAACTCGGGTTTAGGGTTTAGGGTTTGGGGTTTGGGGTTTAGGGTTTGGGGTTTGGGGTTTGGGGTTTAGGGTTGAGGGTTTAGGGTTTAGGGTTTGGGGCTTGGGGTTTAGGGTAAGGTTTAAGGTTTGGGGCCTTTAGGGTTGTTTTGGGGGAGGGTTTGGGTCCTGAAGTTTCTGAAATCCAGAAGCCGCGTCAAGCCGCCTACTCCCTAGCTGCAAGAATGCTACCCTAAACCCTGAACCCTGAATCCTTAAGACCCCCAAAGCCCTAAAACTCAGTCTTCACATCGTTCAGGGCTGGGGCTGAGGGTTCGGGGTCCACGACTTAAGCTTTAAAGGGTTTCGGGCAAACCCTCCACCCTTCACCCCACCCCCCTCCCCCAAAAGCTGCTCATCAGGGATGCACCCAGAGCCACATGCCTCAATGAGCTGCTGTTTGCTGGGGCGCAAAGCCTGCAACCAGGCCCAAACCCCAACTTCAAGTAGGCTTGGGGTTTAGGGAGGGTTCAGGGTTTGGGGTTTGGGGATTGAGGCTTGGGCCAACTTAGGGTTTGGGGTGTAGGCTTGAGCCCCGAACTCCTACGCGAAGGGCTGCTCCACGTGTTTAGCTTCAGCCGCTGCTGACAGTGGAAGCAGACAAGCTGCTGAACTCGTTTGCATTGAGCCCAATACACAAGTAATCCCTAAGCCACTCCGGATGCCATGTCATAAGGAATGCTCCTTTTGGTAAGGGGCATTGGATTCTCTGGCAACTTCAATCCTCATCTTCGAACAATCGCAAGCCTGCACCCGAACCCTTGAACCCACCTGCATGAGGGGCGACTGCGACTGCTGCCTCGGCAGGCAAAGGCAGGTGCCATCGTAACTGACGCCCCAGACCCCAAAATCTCCCCAAAGCACTACCCCGGAGTTATCACGAGGGGGTGTAGGAGTTGGGGTTTCGGGTTTGGGTTTGATTGTGTGTGGTACCCATTCGGCACCCCAGCGTAGGTCCCCTCTCCCGGCCGGGCACTTGCTAACCCTCAAACCCTAAACCCTAAACCCTAAACCCTAAACCCTAAACCCTAAACCCTAAACCATGTGGGAACGCAACATGGATGCGAACCCAACTTCGGTTTCGGGTTGTGTTGGGCTTTTTGGGCTTTTTTGACTGGACATGGCCTGAGGTCCCCATTGACCCTCACAATAAGACCCTAAGCTCTGAACCCCAAGCCCCCCCCAAAATGCCAAGGCAACCAGAATGCCTGCAAAATTCCCGGAATACGGTTCGGGGTCTAGGGCGCAGGGCTAGGGATTGAGGCATTTAGGAGGTCTAAGGTTTGCAAAACCTCAACCACTCACCCTTCATTGGGCCAAAACCTGACATTTAGGGTTTAGGGTTTAGGGTTTAGGGTTTAGGGTTTAGGGTTCAGGGTTTAGGGTTTGGGGTTTAGGGTTTAGGGGTTAGGGTGTAGGGTTTAGGGTTTAGGGTTTAGGGTGAAAGTTTATAAGCCAAGAAACAGCAGCCCGCTCACAAGGACAAAATTTGAACCAAGGAGGTAGCAAAGGTATGCAGTTAAACTACGGGATTGAAGTTGCCTCCCGCAGGTTCTACCCAAAGATACGTACGTCGGACCACACCTCGTGTACCAACTCACATGACAAGAACGCTAGGAATGCACGTTTGATGCGAGAACTGTCTCCGGCCTATGCGCGCAACTACCCAGCGCGCATGGAACTCATCAAACTAAACGACCCATAACTCACCCCAAAGCATCCGGGTCCCGGGCGGCCGCGCAAGCCCTTCGGCGAAGTGGTCGGCAAAGTCCGAGGTCTCCAGGAGGGCCAGCAAAACCTTACGAACCGAAACTTCGGCTAAGCGGGTTTAGGGTTTGGGGTTTAGGGTTTAGGGTTTGGGGTTGCGGGTTTGGGGTTTGGGGTTTGGGGTTTGGTGTTTGGGGTTTGGGGCTTAGGGCGTCGGGCGCGTTCTGTTGGTTGGGGTTCGGAGCTTTTCGGATACTTTGGGCTTAGAGCTGCTCGTAGGACTAGGATGAGTTGAGGATTTCGGGCTACAGGCCCTCAGAGATTCATTATAGGTTCTAAGGGCACATTAGGGAATAGTCGGGAGTATTCGGGAACCTTGGGTTACGTACCCCCCTTGAACCCCCTAAACCCTGAACCCTAAACCCGAAACCCCAAACCCTAAACCCTAAACCCTAAACCCTCCCTCAAGCACCCGATAAGTTCAGGACAGAGCCGAATTGGGGTTGTGAAGGGCGGGTGTTGCTTGGGACTAAACCCTAAACTCAGTCTCTTCTTTGCTCTAATTAGTTTATGATTTGCCTAGCTGTAGCCCTAAACCCTAAACTCCCCGATATGAATTCCTCACCCCGAGGACCCTAACAACCCTCGAAGAAAAGGCCTCGACCAGAGGCCCCGGAAACCCGGGCGTGCAGGATTTTGGGCGTCGGGTTGAGGGTTTAGGGTTAAGGGTTTAGGGCTAGGGTTTAGGGATAAGGGTTTAGGGCTAAGGTTTAGGTAGGGTTTAGGGCTAGGGTTTAGGGTTTAAGGATTAGGGTGCAGAGTTTACAACTTCCAGTTCAGGGTTAAGGGTTTCGACTTCGTTTGGGGTTTAGGGATCCCAAGCCCGAAGCCCTAAGAGCTCCCGAAATCCCGGCCTGTGGCAAACCCGGGTCCTTCCACTGCGCCAGATCCTTGGTCAGTTGGTCCCTGATCCTGGCCGGGCTTGGCGGGGGGTCTTAGGGATTGGGGCTTCGGTGGCTCGGGGGTTCAGGGCTTAGGGTGTCGGGTTTAGTGTTCAGGGTTTCGGGTTTGGAGGGGCTTGTCCCACTCGCCAACCCCGAAGCCCAACGCCAAGACTCTGAGGATCCTAAACCCCAAGCTCTGCGCTCCCCGACCCAGAGCTACACTTTGTAGCCCAGCAACCATGTCATAACAAGGGCGCCCTTCTTGGGGTTGGTTACTGTATAAGGGAACCTTGAACCAAAAAAGAGAGAAAAGTGTACCGCTGGGCTACCAAAGTAAAACACACCGAAAGCTCCGAAACTCCGACTCCCCATCACCGGCCGACTCAAGGCAGGCGGCGTGCTAAACCCTAAACCCCAAAACTTCTCAAAAACGCTAGACAACAAACAGCACAACCCCTAAACCCGAATACCACCACCCCCCCCCCCCCAAAAAAAAAAAAAAAAATAATAATAAATAATAATAATAATAAACAGATGAAAACAAAGCCCCCCTAAAGCCCTAAAGCCCTAAACCCCCAAACCTGAACCCCAAACCCCCAAGCCCCAAACCCCCAAGCCCCAAACCCCGAACCCTAAACGCTAAACCCTAAACCCTAAAACCTAAGCCCGAAACCCTAAACCCTAAACCCTAAACCCTAAACCCTAAACCCTAAACCCTAAACCCTAAACCCTAAACCCTAAACCCTAAACCCTAAACCCTAACCCCCCCCCCCCCCCCCCCCTTGCCCCCTCCCCTCCCCAAAAGGACACTCCCAAAGCGGTCCTCTTGAAGCCCGGGGTCTGCTGCAGCGCCTCTAGGACTCAAAACCTCTAAGCCCTAAACCCTAAACCAGGTGGGACCCTGAGCATAAGGGTTTAGGGTTTTAGGGTTGAGGGCTTAGGGTTTAGGGTTTTTGGGTTTAGGGTTTAGGGTTGTAGGGTTTTAGGGTTTAGGGTTTTAGGGTTTAGGGCTTTTAGGGTTTAGGGTCAGGTTTAGGGTTTGGGGTTTTAGGGGTTCAGGGGTTTAAGGGCTTGGGGGTTTAGGATTCAAGGAGTTTGCGAAGATGCCTGCAATCCCAGAAGTTTTATGGATTGGGGTTTGGGGTTTGGGGTTTAGGGTTTCGGGTTAAGGGTTAAGGGTTTAGGGTTTAGGCTTTAGGGTTTAGAGTTTAGGGTTTAGGGTTTAGGGTTTAGGGTTTAGGGTTTAGGGTTTAGGGTTTAGGGTTCCGTTACACTGAAGCCATCTCTCAACTACTCCCGCATAGGCCGCAACCTCTAAACTCTAACCCGAAACCCTCAACCCTAGACCCTAAACCCTAACCCCAAGCCCTCAGCTGCCTCAGCACCACACACGGAACCAACTTAGGCCCTTGCCTTAGGGATTTAGGTCTTTTCGAGTCTTGAGGCCTTCGGGAAATTTAGGTCTTTTCGAGTCTTGAGGGCTGAAGGGTTTAGGGTTTAGGGTTTAGGGCAGGCTTAGGGTTTAGGAGGGTTTAGGAGTTAGGGTTTAGGGTTTAGGGTTCTAGGGCTCGGGTCATATATGGGGGTTTACGATATTAGGGTACCTTATGGGGGTCCTTATTTTGAGGGGATCCTAGTATTTGGGGGTCTATATTAGGAGTCCCTGATTATCGTAAACCCCCACATAAAGTTTTGGTCCCTCAGCCGTAAACCCCAAATTGTCAAACCTTCAATCCGAAACCCTGAACCCTAAACCCCAAACCCTAAACCCTAAACCCCAAACCCTCAACCCTACATATACCCTAAACCCGAAACCCTCAACCCTACATCCGAAGGCCTTTAGGTTTTAAGGACCGCTGGGGGGAGAAAGCCCGGCCTCGACGTCGCTCATGCGCCGGAGAATCTGCCAGGCTCTGGGGGCTTCGAGTTTAGGGGTTTAGGGGTTTCGGGGTTTCGGGGTTTAGGGGTTTTAGGGGGTTTTAGGGGGTTTTAGGCTTTAGGGGGTTTTAGGGGGGTTTAGGGGTGTAGGGGTGTAGGGGTGTAGGGGTGTAGGGGTGTAGGGGTGTAGGGGTGTAGGGGTGTAGGGGTGTAGGGGTGTAGGGGTGTAGGGGTGTAGGGGTGTAGGGGTGTAGGGGTGTAGGGGTGTAGGGGTGTAGGGGTGTAGGGGTGTTTGGGGTTTAGGGCTTAGGGTTTAGGGTTTAGGGCTTAGGGCTGAGGGCTCAGGGCTTAGGGCTTAGGGCTTAGGGCTTAGGGCTCAGGGGTTCGGGTTCTGGGGCTGGCTTAGGGCTCAGGGGTCCGGGGCTCAGGGCTTCGAGGGGCATAGCTTCGATCGCCCACTCTCAGAAATTGCCTTGGAGCTAATTTCACAGGATTGCAGGATGTACTTGTGGATGAGGACATTTCCGGGAGTTTAGCCAGGGCCCGTAGGCACTCCTGGTACATGTCGAGGGCCCGTAGGCACGCCTCGTATCAGGGCCGGTGGGCACTCCTGAGAACAGGGGCCCGAAGGCACACCCTCGTACCAGGGCCCGAAGGCACACCCTCGTACCAGGGCCCGAAGGCGCGCCTGGTCTGGGGCCCGAAGGCACGCCCAGTGCGAGGGCCCGAAGGCACACCTCGTTTCAGGGCCCGAAGGCGCTCCTGACAACTGGGGTTTAGGGTTTAGGGTTTAGGGTTTAGGGTTTAGGGTTTGGGGTTTGGGGTTTGGGGTTTGGGGTTTAGGGTTTAGGGGTTAGGGTTCGGGGTTCCGGTAAATCCTGCACTAGACTAATGGTCTGAGACAGGATTAGGTCAGGGGTTGTTTAGGTGGCCAGAAAGAAGGTTCTCGTATGGACAAGGTTGTTGATGTGCTTCTGGCTATGAATAGGGGTGGATGTTGGTTAGTGGACTGGCTGAGAATTAATTGGGGTAGAAAGGTGTGGGGGGAGGGGTGTGGAATGTCAGGTCTGGGGAGCCCGTCATAAGCCTTTAACCTCAAACCCTAAACCCTAAACCCTAAACCCTAAACCGTAAACCCACGCCTTGGCAGCTTTCTCTTCAGCACTGCCGGCCTGAAGGGCAGGTCACGGCCACAAGATGCAACTTGCGGTTCAGGCTCCCATGGGCGGGGAGGATGCTTTGGGACACTTCTTCGAATGGGGTGTATAAGCCAACCTTACCAACCCTAAAGCCTAAAGCCTAAAGCCTAAACCCTAAACCCCAAACCCTAAACCCTAAACCCTGAACCCTGAACCCTAAACCCTAAACAAAAGGGAATGAGGGCAAAAAGGCTTGGGAACTCAAAGCCCCAGAGAGGCAGCCACTGCTGTCTCAAGCGATCTCACCTCACATCTGACCCTAAACCCTAAACCCTAAGCCCCAAACCCTAAACCCTAAACCCTAAACCCCAAACCCTAAACCCTAAGCCCTGTGCTCGTTAGCAGTGCTCAGACGGTGTTTCAGGCGGAGCATGGAGGGGGAAGTGAGACAAATGGTGAGGAGGTGCCTGCTTCTTCAGCTTCGCCACCTCCGCCTGCAGCTTGGCATCGGCCCCTGGCCCAAGAAATCGGAAACACGCCCCCTTTTCCCTCTAAACCCTCAGAAAGAGTGCTACCAATGATTGAGGCGTCCGGGGGTTCCTGACACTCAACACAGAGACACAGAGAGAGAGAGAGAGAGAGAGAGAGAAAGGGAGGGAAAGAGAGAGAGAGAGAGGGAGAGAGACAGAGCGAGGGAGGGAGGGAGGGAGGGGAGGGAGGGGAGGGAGGGCCATCGCAGGGCTGAGAGCCGTGAAGCCTCAACCCCTAAAGCAAGAAGTTGAACCCAAGGCCTACTAACCCTACACACCATAAACACTAAAAGCCAAAGCCCAATCCCGAATCCCCAATCCCCAAGCCCTAAACCCCCGTCCCCAACCCCCAATCCCGAATCCCAGCCCTAAACCCCAATCCCCAATCCCAATTCCTCCAAACCCCACTCCCCAAACCCCCAACCCCTCTAACCCCAAACCCCAAACCCCACTCCCCAAACCCCACTCCCCAAACCCCTAGCCCCAATCCTCACATCGCCCGCCCCACACCTGGCGACTGGATTGCGGCCGGCAGCCGCTGGATGACGAGGTCCGCCAGGGCCTCGCTGGCACCTTAGCGATGTAGGGTTGAGGGTTGAGGTTAAGGCTTGATGGTTGATAGGGTTGATAGGGTTGGTAGGGTTGAGGGTTGAGGGTTGATAGGGTTGGTAGGGTTGGTAGGGTTGATAGGGTTGACAGGGTTGACAGGGTTTATAGGGTTGACAGGGTTGACAGTGTTGATAGGGTTGATAGGAGGGTTGATAGGGTTGATAGGGTTGGTAGGGTTGATAGGGTTGATAGGGTTGGTAGGGTTGGTAGGGATAGGTGCGGGTTGATAGGGTTGAGGGTTGATCGGGTTGAGGGCTTAGGGTTTAGGCTTGGTAGGGCTTAGGGGCTTCTTCGTTGTGGGGGTTTGGGTTTGAGGGCTTCCTTGAAGGGTTCACTCTAAACCCCTAAACCCCTAAACCCTAGACCCTAGACCCTAAAAAGGCTTCAGACCTTAGTCTTAGTCTGCTCAATCACAGCCAGCCCCCAGAAGGCGCGAAAACAAACGCACAAACAGATGCATTGCAAACATAAACCCTAAACCCTAAACCCCCTAAACCCCCTAAACGCCCTAAACCCTAAACCCTAAACCCAACATGAGGAGCCCGAGGGTGCCCCAACAAGAAAGCCTCCTTGGCTCGCGGCGGTCGGCACGCTTTTGCATGAAGCTTGCCAGCTCCTGAACCTCGGTAATGCTTGGGGTTTAGGGTTTAGGGTTTAGGGTTCAGGGTTCAGGGTTTAGGGTTTAGGGTTTAGGGTTTAGGGTTTTGGGTTTAGTGTTTAGGGTTTAGGGTTTAGGGTTTAGGGTTTAGGGTTTAGGGTCTAGGGTTTAGGGTTTAGGGTTTAGGGTTTAGGGTTTAGGGTTTAGGGTTTAGGGTTTAGGGTTTAGGGGCTCAAGCCCGAAACCCTTGAGCCCTGGGGGTTGCGGTAGGGGTTCGGGTTGAGGGCTAGGGTCCGTTGTTTACCGTTTACCGTTTTTGCCCTGAACCCTAAACCACTAAACCCTAAACCCTAAACCCTAATCTCTAAATCCTAAATCCTAAACCCAGTCCGGGCTTAGGGTTTATAATTGTTCTGGGTGGCGACTCTGAACTCGAAATCTGTCGAAACCATGTGGGGCCTGAGTAACAACGCACCCCCCTCAGTAGGAACCCTCCATCCTAAACCTCCAGTCCTAGGATCTACACCCCAGAGAAAACGATTTAGGGTGTAGGGTTTAGGGTTTAGGGTTTAGGGGTTTCTAGTTTAAGGGTTTAGGGTTCAGGGTTTAGGGTTTAGGGTTTCGGGTTTAAGGTTTAGGGTTTAGGGTTTAGGGTTTAGGGTTTAGGGTTTAGGGTTTAGGGTTTAGGGGCCATCCTTCGGCAGGCAAAAGGCCGACGTCCCGGCTGCTTTGGGCTTGGCGCCTCTGCAGGTTGGGCAGGGAATCGGGACAATCGGTCGGGGTTTGGGGTATTTAGGGCGTGGGATCAGGGTTTAGGGTTTAGGGTTTCGGGATGTTTCGGGTTTAGGGTTAGGGTTTAGGGTTTAGGGTTTGGGGTTTGGGGTTTGGGGTTTGGGGTTTCGGGTTTCGGGGGTTTAGGGCTTAGGCCTTAGGGCCTGAGGGCCCGAAGGAAGGTTTGGGGCCAGGTGCTGTTTACTGACTCAGCTGCAGCTGGGGATCCGCGGGAGGGGCCCTGTGGCTCCCAGTCCCCATAACCCATCTGAGGGCTTTGTAATGGCTCAAGATCCTCATCTCCTATCCCTACTATTTGCTGAAGAACCGCCCCCACCCCCCCCCCAAAAAAAAAAAAAGAATGAATGAATGAATGAATGAATGAATGAATGAATGAATGAATGAATGAATGAATGAATGAATGAATGAATGAATGAATGAAAATAACCTAAACCCTAAACCCTAAACTCTACAGTACCCTGCAGACTCCTCTTGCTCCAGAAATCCGGCGCTCGGCCCAGCCTACACCCAGATCGTCGCTGCTTTCTGCCACCGCTGGCCTGTGCTAAGCAGGGTTTAGGGTTTAGGGTTTAGCGTTTAGGGTTTAGGGATTGGGGTTGAGGGGTTTTAGGGTTTTGGGGTTTAGGGCTGAAAGATTTTAGGGTTTTAGGGTTTAGGGTTCAGGGGTTAAGGGTTTAAGGGTTCAAGGGTTCAAGGGTTTAAGGGATAAAGGGTTTAAGGGTTTAAGGGTTTAAGGGTTTAAGGGTTTAAGGGTTTAAGGGTTTAAGGGTTTAAAGGTTTAAGGGTTTAAGGGTTTAAGGGTTTAAGGGTTTAAGGGTTTAAGGGTTTAAGGGTTTAAGGGTTTAAGGGTTTAAGGGTTTAAGGGTTTAAGGGTTCGGGTGTTTTGCGTTGTTTCGGGGTCCCATGCTCAAGGTCTTACGGCTTTAGGGCTTCGGGTTTGGGGGTGTTCAGGGTTGGGCACCTTTTCTTTCTGCCCAAAAAAAGAAACGAATACACCAAAGACCCTAAACCCTCAAAACCCCCAGAAGACCCCCTAAACCCTGAACCCTAAACCCTAAACCCTAATCCCGAAACCCTAACCCCGAAACCCTAACCCGAAACCCCGGACTTGAGGGCCCCGCGGCGGCGGGAGCCCTGGGGGCGGCCCTCGCGGCGGGAGCCCGGGCGGGAGTTCGTGGCTCGGCGCTTGCGCCTGCGTGGCCTGCGCGGCGGGGGCTTACTTGGAGGTTCATGGTACTTATTAACCGATTTATAACTGTAGTTATAATCCACTTAGAAGCCCCTGAAAATGCCCTAATATGGTTATTAGTACAGTTATCAGTACAGTTATACTTGGTTAATGAGTACCATGAGCCTCCAAGTATGCGACCACAAATCCACACCCTAAATCCTAAACCTGAAGCCCTAAGCCCATGCCCATAAACCCTAAGCCCATAATCCCTAAGCCCTAAAGCCTAAACCGGAACCCGAAGCCCCCAAGCCCCAAGCCGCCAGCCCAAAGCCCCGAGCCCCAAGCCCCACCCTAAACCCCAAACCCTAAACCCTAAACCCTAAACCCTCAACCCTCAACCCTAAACCCTAAACCCCAACCCTAAACCCTAAGCCCAAAGTCCCCAACGCCTGGGCCAAGCGCAAGAGGCCCGGCGCCGACTCCGGAGCCTTCGACACCTCCGACTCGACGTGCGGAGCCTTCGGCGAAAGGGGCGTTCGGGTTTTACTGGGCTATCTTAATGTTAAGGCTTGGGGATTCGGGGTCTAGGATTATAGGGTTTTAGGTTCAGGGTCTCAAGTTGTTTCGGGTTTTTAGGGTTTTGGGGGGTTTACGGCTTAAGATTTGGGGTCGTAAGGGTTTAGGGTTTAGAGTGTAGGGTATCGGGGTTTTGGGGCTTCAGGGGCTTCGAGAATTTCAGGGTTTGGGCGTTTTGGGGCTTTGGCAGTTCTCTACCTCATGATGTCTTCAGATCCATATCATAATACCGGCCCTTCTTTTAGGGTTTGGGGCTCAACCCTAACCCGAAGCCCTAAACCCTGAACCCCTATACCCCTTGCTTTCCGAGGGCTTAGGGTTGAGGGTTTAGATTGTGGAGCTGGTGCTGCTGCTTGTGATGGTGGTTGTGGTGGTGGGCCACCGGTTGTTGAGAAGCAGCACCACCACGGCTGCACCCTCACCGGGGCATCTTCGGGGCCGAACGGGCTCGATATGGGGCCCGCTGGATGTCGGGCCCGGGCCGGGTGGTACGAATGTCTGCCATTGCCATGGCAGCCATTGCCACATCGCAGCAGCTCAACATATGAGCATCATAAGGATTCAGGAGGATATTTACTGGCTTTAAGAGGATATATTGGCTTGGGGTTTCAAGGGCCTGCCCAGGCTAAATATGAAAGGGTGGTTCGGTTGCTCGATCTAGGGGGGTTGGCCCCTCAACATAGGACGTTCCCAGTTGAGGGCGTGAAGCCCCTACCTGAACCCTAAACCCCCAAAGACCCTAAACCCCAAAACCCTCAACTCCTTAACCACCCCCGAAAACCCGAAACCCGGAACCCCAAAAACTCTACATAAAAACCCTAGGCTCTAACTATGGGGTTCAAGGCCGGAGTGGTTCGGTCTCATTGCCATGAACAGTTTAGGGTTTAGGGTTTAGGGTGTAGGGTTCAGGGTTTAGGGTTTAGGGTTTAGGGTTTAGGGTTTGGGGTTTGGGGTTAGGGTTTAGGGTTTAGGGTTTAGGGTTTAAGGTTTAGGGTTTAGGGTTTAGGGTTTAGGGTTTAGGGCTTAGGGCTTAGGGTTTAGGGTTTAAGGTTTAGGGTTTAGGGTTTAGGGTTTAGGGTTTAGGGTTTAGGGTTTAGGGTTTAGGGTTTAGGGTTTAGGGTTTAGGGTTTAGGGTGTAGGGTTCAGGGTTTTCGGGTTTAGGGTTTAGGGTTAGGGTTTAGTTTAGGGTTTTGGGTTTAGGGTTTAGGGTTTAGGGTTGAGGGGTTTCAGGGTTTAGGGCTCAGGGGGGCCTCTTCGATCTCCTGTGGTGGGCCGGGCACCGGCAGCAGCAGATGCGTACCTTTGGTGGAACTGCCCGGGCCTTGGGCACCTAAATCCCTGAAACCCCGGACCCTGAATCCTACCAAAAACACCCGAAAGCCCTGCAACCCCTTTTTAAAAGCAGCTCCATGGCCTATGACTTGGGATTTGGTTATGGGTTTGGGTGGTTCCGGGTTCGGGATTTAGGGCTTTAGGGCTTTAGGGTTTAGGGTTTAGGGTTTAGGGTTTAGGGTTTAGGGTTTAGGGTTTAGGGTTTAGGGTTAGGCCAGCAGTCCAGCTCGCAGGGTCTGGCGGAAAGGAGATACAAGCACCCGAACACTTCCACATGTGAGGGCTGGTCTCAATCATGGCTTTTAGGGGTCTAGGGTTTAGGGCTTCGGGTGACTCAAGAGTGACCTACTTTTTAGTTTGCAGGGGCTCAGAAGGAAACCTAAGCCCTAAAAGGAAGTGAATAAGGGCCTACTCTAGGTCCGAGGGGTTCTCTTGCATGTCATCTCCGCACAGTCTAGTTTGCCCAACAAAAGGGCCTGGAATCTAGATCGACCCCCATTTCTGCCTGGAAGGGTTTTAAGGTGTAGGTTTCCAGGCAAAGGGGAACTCCGAGAATCTGGGAGAGCTTTTCAAGGAGTGGAGGGCATATTTGGGGGTACCCTGTGGGAGAAGTATGGAGACCCCGGTACCGGAGCCCGTTCTCCCTGCACACCAGTACTGGTCCCTCATGGGCGTACCGGGGGGTCTCAGGAAGAGGTCCCAGCCCAGAATCGAAGATTCACAAAGCGCTCCCAGTCCTGGGAGTTGCCTTTCCTGGGAGCCCCTGCAACCTTCCTGGGACCCCTGAGCTCCCCTAACCAGGCCCCCCTGGGCCTGGCCTGGTACCATCGGTACCAC